ATATTTTATTAGGGTTGTTTAGTAGCATGTAGGCTGCTTTTTTACCTTTCTTACAGAAACACAAGCCAGACTGTCAGTTTTATCTGACACTGAATTCCTTTGATTTGTCTATTCTTATAAGGTTGTTTGATTAAAAAATGGTTATCTTCCAGCATTTTCAGTTTCTTCATTATTTTCTTTTTTACTTTTTTACGGCGTTCCAAAAACCCAACCTGATTATCCATTTGTAATAGCTTCTCATCTGTCAGTCTAACCTAGTTTTATTCCAAGCCCATCATTTAAGTATCTAAACCCCTCAGAAGTTACTTATACCACTTCATCACTTCCTCCCTTCCATCTCTCTTGTAGTATTGGTTGGAAAGATCAATTGTTTTTGTTTCATAGCTCTCTCTCAACCACTGAAAATTTAACAAGGGTGCTTAAACATAGCTTTTTCTAAGTTGTTCTTAGGAAGAATTTACCGGCAATCCTTGGACTTAAAACACAATTGGTTCCTGAAAACTGTCTTAAGTCAAAACAGTGCAACTCAGAACCGATTCACCACCCCCAGGAAACAATGTTATAAATGGGGGATTGGTTCCTGAACCAAGGGCCCATATCCTATTTGCACCAAAAATAACCCAAAATTATGTACAGTACTCAACCAATTTTAGACAAGTAATGTAGCTGCATTTATTTATTTTATTTATGTATTTATATTGTAAATAGCAGTCATACTGATTTGGAAGGACTTCTTTGAGGTGACTTTGCTGGACTTTTTGAAGGGGTCTTGGTTGGACTTCTTGAAGGGTTCTTGGCTGGAGTCTTTTCAGGAGTCATAGCTGTAGGTTTTTCTGGAGTCTTGTCTGCTTTCTTAAAGAAAGCGTCCAGGGAAGTTTGGACAGATGTTCTCTTCTTTTGCTTGTAAAATTCTCTGTAGTGGCTGTACATGTTGGATATGCCCCTGTTTACTGATGGACTGTGTTCAATGTTGGGGTCATGTCAGCTTCCAAATGTTGAAATGCCTCAGCCAACCCTTGTCAAAACTTTACGAGGAGGAGTCTTCGACAGTGGGTGCATCTTCTTCCTCTGCCTCTTCTTGAAGTTCCAATTCAATGAGGTCCTCATTGGTTAATTCTTCAGAATGTGATGCCAGCAACTCATGAACGTCTTAGTACAACGTCTAAGTTGAGTTCCCTTGCTCATTTCAACAGTATTTGTGGTCACCTCTTCAACAGTGTCTGTAAAGCCTTGGAAGGCGGACACAAACTTAGGACACAATTTTCTCCAAACACCATTCAAATTTGATTGTTTGACTTCACTCCATGGTTCACCAATATTCTTAACTGAATGGTAAATGTTGAAGCCCTTCCAGAATTCTTTCAGAGTTGGTCCACCTTCCTTCTCAATTGCCCTGATGGCCTGGGCAAATGTGCATGTAAGATAGTAGGCCTTGAAGGATGCAATTACCCCTTGGTCCATGGGTTGCAACAATGAGGTGGTGTTGAACCACCACCAGTGGCAGAAACACCACTTCGATGTCAGGATGCATGTCATCAAGGATGGTTGGATGACTAGGAGCATTGTCGAGGATTAACAATGCTTTAAATACAAGATTGTTTTTGCTGCAATAATCCCTGACACTTGGCACAAAATTATGATTAAACCAGTCCTCAAAAAATGTTCTTATTGACCCACGCCTTAGGATTGGATTTCCATATTGCTTGGAGAAATGCCTTGGAATATCCCCTGAAAGCTCTGGGGTTTTCCTAATGGTACACAAGTAAAGGTTTAAGTTTGAAGTCACCTGCAGCATTGGCACCAAGCAAAAGAGCATGCCTATCTTCAGCAGCTTTGTACCCTGGCATGGATTTCTCCTCTTTGACAATGTAGGTTCTTGACAGCATTTTTTTCCAAAAGATTCCAGTTTTGTCAACATCAAAAACTTGCTGAGCACAATACCCACCCTCTTCAATGATTTCAGCCAATGTTTCAGAAAAAGCACAAGCTGGCTCTTCATCAGCACTGGCAGTTTCACCTGAGACCTTGATGTTATGAAAATTGGCCCTGGCTTTAAAACTCATGAACCACCCTCTACCTTCATTAAAAGGCTCAGCATTAGAACTCTCCCACTGTTGATACTTTACATCATCGTAAAGACTCCTAGCCTTTTCATGAATTATGCCTAAACTCACAGGAGCACAACATTTTATTTTGATCCTCCAGCCAAATGATTAACAGTTTCTCAACCTGAGCAATAAGTCCAACACGCTGCTTAGTTGTCACAGTTGACTGCGTAGGACCTGAGCCCATAACATATTCCTGAATTCTTGCCTTATCTTTCAGGATGGTCACGATAGTCATTCAGGGGATATCCAAAGCTCTACCCATTTCAGTTGGGGTCTCACCTTTTTTGGATCTCTTAATTATTTCCATTTTTGTTTCCATAGTACTGTATTACCATTTCTGTTGGTATTCCCTATTTTAAGTAAAGGAAATACTGCTTGAGCTATAGTCTCAGAAACTCAGATCAGCTAAGATATACTCACTGCAGCCCTTTATATTGAAGTTCTCCTGTTTGCAGCATGTCTGTGCATCATTCAAGTCCTTATGACAGTATTTAATTAGAGAATGGACCAGTTTTGAGTCGTAAAGTTAATTTAATTAAAAGGGTTCTTTATAATTCATTTTTATGTATTACAGATTATATTTTAGTTCATATATATTGTTCCAATTGCTGTTAACGTGCTATATGTATCAAGCTGTCTTGCTAAATATACCTATGATTGAAAATAGCACTTGTGCTCATAGTTACGCTGTGTTATTTGTCTGCCTTGTTCTTGAGCTGAGATGAATTATTTTTTAATACAAACCAATATTTTTAACAAATACAAAGACTCGTCTTATTTCTATGGTGTTATATAGATATATCTGCATCAATGAAAGGAGTAGACAAAATTCAGTAAAAGTGCTTTATGTATTTGACACTGATGAGGGGAGATAGGACTTGAAAGCTCAAGTAAATTTATCTCTTTCTTCATTTTGGAGTACGTCACAACAGTAGAGGGCCTCATATAGATATTCAGTTTCTCCTGGGAGAATCACTGCCTTCCCAGGAAAAAACCACAAGTGTACACTCATTCAGTCTTTTTCTCCCAAAGTAAAAATGGTCACTTTGGTCACATCCAGACGAGTGTGGCCGTGCGATATGTGGTGCTGCAAACTGTCTGCAGTGCCATATACTGCACCGTCAGGTGTTCTCTGCACTGCACAAGTGCACTGCGCATGCGTGCGCTGCTCCATTTTTTTTCTGCAAGTTTTTATCTAGGAGTCAAAAAACCACTGAAGAAAAAAAATGAAACCGCACGCATGGGCAGTCCACACTGCTGAAAAGTGGAGCCAGGCTGGCCAGAGCTGCTGTTGCAGCTGCTAGCCAGGCTCTGCCCGGCAGGATCACCACTGCTGCATCCCTGGGAGCAGTGGCGATGTGTAAGAGGTGCACCCCCTGAGAGCGCTGGTGCACTCCCTGTCAGGCCACACTCCCCACTTAGGTGACGGGCGAGGAGGTAGGCAGGAGTGCTGGTGCCCCCCTGTGAGTGCCAGCCAGAATGAAGTGGCCGCGGAGCTCCCAGAAGTGGCTGTGGTCGCTTCCAAGAAGGCCACAGCTGCTTTCAGGTGAGTGAAAGCAGCTGTGGACCTCCCCCCTACCCCTGGTCAGTGCGATTGGCCACGGAGTGGGGGGTGGAACCACCCCCACCACCCCCCTGATCAGCACAATTGGTCCCTCTGGTCACTGACGGGTCATGGGAGGGCACATGCCTCTCCTGACTTGGATGGCACCAGTCGCCCGTGCCTGGGGGGCCCCCAGAGCCCCAAGTAAGGTTACCACCTCCGGGGTAACTTGCCACATGCCAAAGCACACATGGCACAGGTGTTCCCTAGGGATAAGTAGCTGCAGCACAAGCTGCACCGCTGCTACGTGTCCCCAGGGAACCAACTGTCCGCACTCGTTTGGTTGGGGCCTTTGGGGGCAAAATAACCTGGGAACAGCTAGGTTTATATTGCTTCCAGGTAAATTCCTCCTAAGAGAATGTCTGTCTGGACATACCAAATGCCCACTGCATGCAGTATAACTGGTAACATTCCAGAGATTGTGTGTACTTCCTTATTTCCCCTTAAATAATTTTTGCTAAGAGTATTTTCAGATTTAAAATGCTTTTTGTTAATATGGCATACCCCATCAGATGGTTCTCTGAAATAAATTTGAGAGATTTTGAATAAAATTAAAATAACTTAAAGTAACATTTTCTCCTCTGAAGAGTAATTTGTAAAACAAAAAATAAAAAAATATATATATATTTTTTAAATTAATAAGATAAAGCACTGTGGAAAGTAGTGTTCAGTGAAAAAACTTTTTCCCATTTCCTAAATTATTCTGGTGAAAAAATGTAAAATGTTCATGCTACCAAAGTACCATAAGCATGTGGCTATTCTAATATAATAAAAGCCTTAGTTAGTCTGTCTGTCCATCTAGCCATAACACTTTATTCACACTCTGATTGGTTGTCTTGGCAGCCAATCACAATGCTTACTGAAACAACCAATTGGAGTGCTCTGCACAGAGAGACGCTCATGGTGGAGTACTGCTATGACTGCGGGGACTGAGGGGCTGGAGCGGGGGATCAGCCTGCCCCCCGCCCTGCTCCTTGGAGGCAGAGGGCCGAGGATGGATTGGCACAGCCAGTGCAGCCACTTCTTCCGCTGTGCCTGGGGTCATTGCCTGGTGCCAGCTCCAGCTCTGCACTACCTTGGAGGGGCCGGAACAGGGCCAGTCTCAGCTGCACTGGAGGGCACGGAGCTCCATCCCTGCCTTCTGCTGCCCCCCCCCCAGTCATTCTTGACCGGCAATTTGCTAGTTAATGTATAATGAATTATGTCTTGCTTTGCTGAACCATATTTTGTTTAAATGTTTTATTAGCATTAATTGCTAATAATAACAGAATTTTGTTCCTTATTTTTAGGAAGTTGCTGTATTTGTCTTTGATAAAAAGTTAATAGACAAGTATCAGAAATTTGAAAAGGATCAGATTATTGATTCTTTAAAACGAGGAGTCCAACAGTTAACAAGGCTTCGACACCCTCGACTACTTACTGTCCAACATCCATTAGAAGAATCCAGGTAAATGTTAATGAAATTATAAGTTTGCACTTAATATTTGTTTGATAAACCCAAAGCTCTGGGGTATTTGAAGCACACAGTTAATGCTGATGGAATAATAGTTTCACTCCCCCTGAGAGTTTTAACTTTATCTGCCTCACATTTGAAACTTATGGCAATGTGCTTATTGAATCTTCCATGAGCATGGTATTTTTAATCACAGTTACACTGGTGTGAAGAATGGGTGAAATCTAGCCTCTAATAGCAGACTTATTTTAAAGTTTCCCAGCGAGAGCACACTTTTTTCTTTTTGTAAAACTCTACGAAATTTTCACCTGAACCAGCAGATTTGTCAACCTGTATTTTTCCTAAATCCATGCTTTTCAAAAGAAGAAATTAAACTTCATACTTGAAATGTTAGGAGGGTTTCAGCATTCTGCTTATGGAAGTCTGGTAAAGTATAACAAGACTATTTGTAGCTATAGCCGAGAGGATAAAGGGTGAATCTATCTTGACTTGGACTTTCTGTCTGGAGATCAGACAACATAAGTTTTTGTTATGAAGGAAAAATTTATGGACAGTTACTCAAAGGAGAAAGTAACTAACTTATCTGTATGGTAAATGGAATTCTTCACACTACGTTGTTTCATGTTCATATTCCTGTTTGAGTCTGTATCCTTTGGATTCTGAGATGGAGAAGGAAGTGATTGGCTTACTCCACTATTACTTTCCTGGTACTGGGCATTGGGACATTTAGAGTGCTGGCACAGCTGCAGTGAAAAGTGCTGGCCACACAACTCTCATCTGAAGTGTATGGGCACTTGTGTACCATAAGTGAAATGTGTGTGCACAAGTTATCTTTAACTCCAGTTACCAAGCAAGTAGATAACTTTTCAATATGGATTTTGCCTTGAGAGAAAATGAAAGGTAGGCCATGTTCTGGGTCCATTTCTGTTGTCAGTGTCCACTCTTAAGAAATAGTGAACATGAGTTCTGTCTTAGGGTTCCAAAGCACTCAAATATCAATGGATGATCTGTTCGTTGCTATCTTTTGCAAAGCATGTGGATTTTTTTTTTGGCACCTGTTTTTTATCATGCTCTTCTTGGAACACTGCCCAAAATACAATTTTATCATGATACTGTTTGAAGAGCAGTTGAAGAACATACAGTATGTGGGTGATTTTAATTATTAGGATATTCATTAAAACAAAACCTTGATTTTTCTAGGTCCTAAAGTCACTGGAATGAAGGCTGAAACTGGTAACTGCCAAAATTATCCATTAATTATTATGCCTTTTTATTCATTTTTGGCTTTTGCTTTTTTAACATTCATAAATAATGCTAGGCTTTTTCATCCTTCCCAGTCATTGTCTATTATCCTTGCCTGAAATATAGCAGGAATTCTAGACTCCAGGCTAAAATTAATGTAGGTATAAAACAAGGAATGACTGTCATCCTCTGTTCTGGTATTAGTATTGGATAGTACAAAGTTGAGTTTCTGAAAAGAGAAAGTTTGTAGTTCCAAAAAAAGGGTATGGGCGGCCCATACATCTGTTAGACTGGAAGCCTGAATAAAACTGAAGTTGAGCACCTTCAATTGGGTTTACTGACATTTGCCAGTTGTAGTTTTAAGATTCTTGGAGGCAGTGGTAGATAGAACCAAAGTTGTGGCTTATTCTTTGAGTGAGAAGCTAAAAGCTTGTATGCCTTACTGGTTTTACTCTTGTATTCTTATTTTATTTCAAAGAACAATCTCATACTCTGAGAACCGTGTACCTCTACAGATCTAATGAAAATTTAGACTTCACTTTTCTTTCTTGCCCAAGACTTTTGTACTCCAGTAAAATATTCTTACTGTTGTCTTTAAGTTTCAGTTTTCCTTGTTCATATTGCTGTTATGTTCTTGCATGGAATTTTCAGGTTCATTCTTACAGCGGGCATGTGAACTACTTAAGGCGTTTTCCTGTAGATTTCAGAGCATTTCATATTTAAGTTGCAAAGACTTGTGTATCCTTTACATCATGCAGCTGAATTGTAACAATGTGGATCCTATGAATAGTTTAGCACAGGCAGAACCAAGCTTGAGCAGCAGCGTGTAGAGCAAAAATCCATTAGTGCTATGTGGAGGAGAAAGGAACAGTCATTAGGATCTGTTTAGTAAGGGAGATGAGAAAAGGGAACAGAAGAATCATTTTTATTGTTGTCAGAGAGGTAACATCACAACACGTTAAATGGACAGGAGTGTTACAACACTATATGAGAGAAAGGAAACCACAAAAAGAGGAAGTGAGAGTATCTCAAGGAATGAAGAAAGCAGGTAAGGTAGGCATGATTATGCTGTGGTTGCAACTCTCTGATGTTACTTTGAATGTTTCGAGCACCTAAGTAATGCCTGCTTCTACAATAAGAAATTCACGTGTGCTTCATAGACAAGTTAAAGTAAAGGCACAATGGGATTTGGTTCAGGAGGAAGAAGACAGCAAAGCAGAATACATTGGATGAAGATGAAAGGTGAAAGATGCAGCACTGATATAATAGTGGGAATTTTATTATAGGCCACCAAATCAGGAAGAGGACGTGGATGAGGCATTCTTCAAGGAAATGGCAAATCTATCTGAAAGCCGTACAATGGTGTTGATGGGAGACTTCAGTTTTGCAGACACCTGCTGGAAGAATAATGCAGCCAAACAAAATGTTAGACTGGTTCCTAACTTGTGTGAGGGACAACTTTCTGTTCCAGAAGGTGGAGGATACAACTAGGAGATCATCCATCTTGGATCTTGTCCTGACCAACAGGGAAGAACTGGTGCAGGGTGTGAAGGTGATGGATGACTTGGGAGGAGGGAATCGCAATGTAACAAAATTCCAGGTCCTGAGACGGGGAAAGCACGAGGTCAGAAATGTTACGATGCTAGATTTCAAAAAGGCAGATTTCATCTGACTTGAGGAGTTATTAAGTATTATCCCATGAGAAGACGGACTGAAGGATAAAGGCACCAAGGAGGGCTGGAAGCTTCTAAAGGGCACAGTTTTGGAAGCCCAAGAAACTGTCCCCACACAATGGAAATTAAAAGAAGAATGGCAAGAGACCAATGTGGCCTCCCAAGGAGCTTCTAAAATCCCTCAAATGTAAAGGAAAACATGCAGGCAATAGAAGAATCTGCAGGACATTAAGGAAATAGGTAGAATCTGGAGGGACAAAATCAGGAAGGCAAAGATAAGGAACAACCTGCACCTGGTGAGGGAGGTTAAGGATATCAAGAAGAGGTTCGATAAGTATGTTGTCCAGAAAAGGACCAAGGAACCTGTGTGAACAAGCCAGGGGGAACTCCTAACAGAAAATGCAAAGAAGGCAGAGATACTCAACAGCTACCTTGCCTCAGTCTTCACAACAACAAAAAAAGCTGCAGCCAGACATCAATAAGGATTACCTGGCTAAGGAAGGCAGGAAGCTGAGGGAGGAGATTAATGAGAGATGCTCAGCTTTTGATGACTGAATGAATTCAAGTCAGCAGAACCTGATGAACTTTATACCAGGGTCTGAAGGAACTGGCAAAGGAGATCTTGGAGCCCTTGGCAAGGATCTTCATGAAGTCAGGGGAGATGGTTGAGGTACCAGAGGACTAGAAAAGGGCCAACATAGTGCCCCTTTTGAAGACAAAAAAGAGGCCCTGGGGCACTACAGACCAGTTAGCCTCACCTCAGTACCTGGGAAGTTACTGGAACATATTCTAAGGAAAACCATTTGCAAGCATCTGGAGGAGGAAAGGCTGATCACAAACAGCCAACATGGATTTATGAAAAACAGATCATGTTAAACAAACTTGATTTCGTTCTTTGACAAAGTAACTACTTGGGTGGATGATGGGACTACTGTGGATATAGTGTATCTGAGCTTTTAACAAGGTCCCACACAACCTTCTCATAAACAAGTTGGAGAAACATGAACTGGACAAACTACTGTAAATTGGATAGAGAATTAGCTCAATAGCAAAAAGCAAAGAGTAATTCATGACAGGTCCATATCAGACTGGTAGGTGGTTTTGTGTGGAATTCCCTTGGGCCTAGTGCTGTTCAGCATGTTTATTAATGACTTGGGTCCTGGCACAGAAAGCTTCCTAAGCAAGTTTGCAGACTACATGAAAGTGGGAAGGATTGCGAACATGCTGGAGGATCTGAGTGTGGTTCAGAAGGATCTTGACAGATTGGAAAGCTGGGCTAGAGCTAACAGGATGAAGTTCAATGAGGACAAATGCAAGGTGCTACACCTTGAGGGGAATAGTCAAAAACACAAATATAAAATGGGTGACATCTGGCTGAATGGCAGCACAGTGGAAAAGGATTTGGGAGTCTTGGTAGACCACAGACTCACTATGAGTCTGCAGTGTGATGCAACCATACAAAAGATGAATGTGGTTTTGGGATGCAGTCAATGCTTCTGTAAGCATTAGGTGCAAGACATGAGGGTTAATAGTGCCTCCTATACTGCTTAGACTTTACCTGGAGTACTGTATGTGGTCCTGGACTCCACATTTTAAAAAGGATGTGGAGAAGTTAGAGAGGGTCCAGAGGTGGGCAACAAAGATGATCAAGGGCTTGGAAATCAAGGTATGTGAGGAGAGGCTGAAGGAGCTAGGCATGTATGTACAGTTTGCAGGAAAGGTGCTTAAAGAGGGGACATGATAGCAGTCTTTAAATACTTGATGGACTGCCATAAAGCGGAGGGAAAGCACCTTTTTTCTCTTGCTGCAGAGAGTAGGACATGGACCAGTGGCTTGAAGTTGCAGCAAAGTACATTTTGATTGGATATCAGGAAAAAACTCCTTCACTGTTAGAATAATGACACAAGGAAATAGACTGCCTAGGGAAGTTGTAGGGGTGTAGGTTGTAGCAGTGTTGTAGGCAGACAAGTTTCTTTGGGTAAATCTGATATCTTTTATTAGACCAACTCAATAGTTGGAAGATTTTATTTTAGCAAGCTTTCAGGTTTAAAAAACTTTTGTCAGGCTGAGGAAGCATCTGCCGTTGAGGAAGCACACACCAACTGCAGATGCTTCCTCAGCCTGACAAGAATTAAGCAAGGAAGAGCCTGGTGCTGCCCCAGCCCACCCCACCTCCTGCCTGTGGCCCACTCCTTCCCTCACCACTGGGGCCTCAATCTGCCTCCCCCACCCCTTCCCCCACAGATTTACCTGTTGGGGGGCATGCCCCTAAATAATTGTTTCTTTCTCCGCCTCAATCTGCTCCCTCTTCCCTCCCCACAAACTGACCTGTGGGGTGGGCAGGTGCAAGTAGATCTTGGGGTTGCTTTTTAATTAAAAAACTGATCTACCCAAAAAGGTTGGAGACCACTAGTTTAGACTATGGATTGTATAGGACGGTTTGAGTAGGAATGATCCTGCTTCAGGTTGAGGGTTGGACTGGATGACTTCTGGAGGTCCCTTTCAGTCCTTCATCTCTATGATTCTGTGATATGGTGCAAGACCCCAACAATCATACTTCCTGCAATGCCACGTATGCAACATGCAAGAAAGCAAGATCGTGGGATCCTGCATTGGATCCCATCGCTCCATATTGGTGGTGCACTGGTAAGTAGCAAGCTTGTCTCCCTGTGCTCCCCCAGCTGGGAGCCCTGATTAACTGACCAGGGCTCCCAACTGTAGGAGTGCATGGTACTCTGTGGCACTGGGGAATCCTGATCAGCTGAGGCACTCCCAGCCTCTGGATCACATGGGAGTCTTGAAAGGCTCCCACATGCTCCAGAGGGTGGGCACTGGTCCACATAAATATGTGATAGAAACCAGGCACAAAGTTATTACATTTTGTGTACATTTGTTATTACATTTTAATAACTTTGTGACTTATTTCTTGTTTTCTCTTGCCATTAATTAAATGTATGGCCAGATCACTACTTAAGACATGATTAAACAGTTAATCACGTCTTAAGTGTGACATCTGTCAGACGTCATGACATGGAATATTCAAAGGTGTAACATTTTGGTCAACACATACTCCCTGCTAGCCTGAATTTTGATTTGTAGTTATTTATCTTTGCTTTCCTCTCTGATGTAGGTTCTAGGAAATTTACCGTAAAATGCATCATGCATATGAGCAATAAGTAGCTGCATACAGGTGCTCATTTTTACTTGTAAGAATTTATCCAAAATTCTTACTGGTAGAAAAATAGCCTGGGAGCTGGAGCACGCATGCATTCCAGTCTTTTGGCTGGAGAGCAACACAGATGAGTGTGGTATGCAAATTTAATATGGTATAGATAGAAACTAACTACTTTATACCATATGGTAAACTCTGGTTAATTTACCCATGGGATAATTTGTCACTGTGGTTTGATGTGATTCTCTTATGATCCCCTATCAGCACTCCAACTCCTGATAGTTGGTCATTATGCCTGCTGACAAATGTGGACCCCCCCTCACCCCAAACAAAACAAAACCAAACCCAAAAAATAGTGCTTTACCAGAAGAGGAATTGTGTCAGTTTGACGCAGCTTGTCCAGCGTCTGTATAACTCACATGCTTCAGTGGGGCTTTTTGGCACTTTTATTTAATACCTTATTGAATCAAATTTTAGATAAAGGTGCCAAAAAGCCCCGCTGAAGTGCATGAGCTATACAGATTCTTGGGAGCTGGGTCAAACTGATGCAGTTCTCCTTCTGGGTATATATTGCACACAGTGCAGGGGGTGCACTGAGCTGAAAGTAAAGTGCTGTTTTTTGGGTTTTTCTCTCCCATATCTGTAAGCACCTTACAGGACAGTTTACCCCATTATATGCCATGCCTGTTCCCCTTGGTATGGCAGATGAATGTTACTGTGTTCTGGTTGATGTCTTAACAAGTTACATAAATACTGCTTCATTCAGAATCTAGCCAGATGGCCTAATCCTGCAACTCTTGCATGAATAGTCCTTTGTCCCCCTACACTATTGCTGGATCAGGAAGGGGAGAGTATTTTATTCTGTGTGAAGCACTTTGCATACCTTTACTACACAAACATTAGAATTAGTCACAGTAAGGTGCTTTATTTTCTATCTTGATTTCTTGGGGGCTTCCAACTTATCCTTTCATCACAATTAAATTATTTTTAGTAGGGGTTGGCTGATAGAGATTTTTGGGGGCTGATACCGATTTTTAAGGAGGCATATCGGCCAATACCGATATGATTTCCAATACAGCTACGTGCATTTGGTAAGTCTGTTGTGGTAAAAGGGGAGGGGGAAGGAAAGGGGCGTGGGGAGGGAGGATCAATGTCCCCCATGGTGAGGGAGGGAGTGGGGTTGGGGCTATGCCCCTTCCTCCCCCTCCCCTTTCACCACAAGGGGCTATGCCCCTTCTTCCCCCTCCCCTTTCGCCACAACAGACTTACCAGCTGCATGCAGCTCTCCACACTTCCAGGCTGTGCTCCTTGCCACCTGCATGCTGCGCTGTGACTGTGTCATGCACTGGCATTTATCTGCCAAATTATTGGCCATATCAGGCAGATTTCCAATATAGTCCATTTTCTTTGTATTGGTAACAATCGAATATCGGACTGATGTATCGGTGCACCTCTAATTTTTAGATGTTCAAAACCTATTTTTGTTTAGATGCTACGTTTTATATAATACAGAATGCTATGCTAATATATATTATGATGGTGTACCTATTTTTTTACAGTAGTTCTAAATTGAGACCAGAAACTTTATTAAGTACATGTACTAGAAATGTTGATTTCCTCTTTCCTTTTTTAGAGATTGCCTGGCATTTTGTACAGAACCAGTCTTTGCAAGTTTAGCTAATGTTCTTGGCTGCTGGGACAACCTACCTTCTCCTTTACCACCTGACATTAAGGAATATAAACTTTATGATGTGGAAATGAAATATGGCTTGCTTCAGGTACATCAATTATCTTTACAATTTTTTGCCTCTCGTGTTCAGTACTGCCAGTTACTGTTTTAGATAGGCCTTAATCTAGCTAGCAGTTGTACACAAACTTAACTCTACATGCATGAATCATCCTGGGTTACTATAAGCACATATGTAACTTTTTAAAGGATTGGGATTTTATAATTTGTCTGAATTTGTTATCGATGTTTGTTAGGAATTACTTCTCTAAAAGCACAAGTTATTTGTGAGAGAGTTAAGGATCGGTAAATTAAAGTCTAAGTGGGCTCAATTCCTTTGATTAAAATGTAGTTGTTCCAATGCACACCTGTTAATATTTAATTTGCTTAAAGGATTATTTATAATAAAAGTATCTGACCATCGCATATGCTTTAATTAATTTTTTAATTAAGAGTTTATAATTTTTATAGCTTTGTAATTTTGAACAAATGGTAGTTTAAAAGATTTCAAAACCAGGCTACGTTTTTAAAATTAGAAAATTGTGTGGGTCATAATGTTTGATCAACTAATTTGCAGACTGCTATTGAGAATCATAGAAAATTAATTTTGAACAAACTTTACAGTGTTCTTTGAAAAGGTTAGGAAATGGCCAGATTAAACTACCAGAACCAATATCAGTTGTGGATATTAAGCTGTGTGGAAAGTACTAGCTTCTGAAGAGCATATTGTACATGAAATAGTTATAACGAGAGAGACCACAATGCTTCAAAGTCCCGTTGTAAACAGAAGTGATAACTGCCAGATGGAATGCTTTAAATTGCTACTATCTCTGCTCATCCTTCCCTGAAAAAGTGAAAATGGATTAATATATTTATCTTTCTTGTCTTCTTTTCCCTTTTTTTAGAAGATTGGTGACGATTCCCACTTTTAGGGGTATAGCTTTTTGGTTTCTTTACCTTTTTCAACAATATTTAAACATGTCACACATTTAAATATATGTTGTATTCATTTCCTTTGTCATTCCCCTCCCACCTTGATCTAGCCAGTGTTCTGTCTTCACACATACAAATTCTGTCTCTCTGCCCTGCTTGTTCCCATCCTCTCCCTTCCCCACAACCATACATATGCAGGTTTTTACCTTCTTTCTGTTGCCACTGCTTTGCTTTCCTGTGTGCTTGGAAAGCCTTCTGTGTCTGAGCACTCTGGTCCTGTCTCCCTGCCTTTCCCTTCTTGCAACTGAGTAATTATGCAATTGCTCCTTCTCCCCGCAATCTGCCGTTCATTTTTCTTTTTTCTTTTAAAGTGATCCACTACTGCCTGCCTCATTCTGTTGTCATCTAACGTGTAAAAAATAAATAAATAAACCAACTAAAGACCCTAGTAATGTGCAGGCTATTCTACTTGCACCTTTCCTCTTGCTAAAGCTACAGAGGCACATAAGCTCTTCTGCATGCTTTTCTTTCCTTCATTTCTTCAGAAAGAACGAATGGCTACCCGTTTCTATTCAGTTTATTTACCTGATGAATGTTCTGCTCATCCTGGATAAGTTCTTCCTTCCGCTTTCCCAAATCCTGTGATCAACATTAGTAACTTCATCAATTAGTTCACCAGCTGCCTATCATTTGCTTGAGATGCACTTATAATTCGACTAACATTGCTGAAAATTTATCTTTTTAGTGGATTTAGATTGAATGGTTTTAGCTAATTTGCCAATTTATGTTTGACCACAGGAAGTAAGAGACTGATGTCCTAGTGTCATACATATTTTGCAAGCATTTGAAAGAACGTGTGGCAAAAAGCCCTTGATTTTAATTAATTAACTTATTTATTTATATTAATGCTAGAGGCAGGGATTTTTGTTGGTGATACCTTTTATTAGTTGGGCTGTATGGTTGTATTGCATTCCAGTACTACTACCTATCTTTATTAACAGGTTTCTGAAGGTTTGTCCTTTCTGCACAGCAGTGTGAAAATGGTTCATGGAAATATCACTTCTGAAAATATAATTTTGAATAAAAGTGGAGCATGGAAAATCATGGGATTTGATTTTTGTACTCAGTCAACAAATCCTTCTGAACAAGAGGTACTGGGACTCCTATTGTTGTCTGCTGTTTATTTTAAATGCAGATTTTTGCCTGAAACAGGCTGCATGAACTACAGATGGCACTAGCTCCTTCATGTAGTGGGCTCATGATTCTCTTTTATGGAGTCAGAGACTGTAGATTCTAGTAGTCCCTTGGAGTAAGCTGATGCAGGAGGGACGGGGAATGCCTTGTACTTTGAAAATGAGTTTGGTTTCATCCTTGTGCCACTACACATTTGTTATAAAACCACTCTACATTTCACATTTTTTTGTTGAAAAGAAATACGGGAGTGAATTAATTGAAGGGAACTAAATACTTCAGGGAATTAGTAACAGGATGTAGAGATTATATCTCTGCAGAACACACAGTGTAAATCCATTGATGGAGTAGAACAGGAGGTCATCTAGCCCTCCTCCCCTTCCCCTGCAGTGTTGCTTTTTAGGGCTGCAGGTCACCAGCCAAGCTTTGCACGAGGATGAACCAATATCAGCACGATGGGCAGGTCTGCTGTCCCACCCCTCAGTGCAGTGTGGATGAAATGGCTTGATACCCTTTCTTCAGATGTAAGTTCAATTTCATAAAGTAAGAAGAGGTGTTTCATGTAACAGTTTATTCCAAGATTTAATTGCTACCTAAATATATAAATAGTTTAAAATTTTCATTACAGTCTGTAATTCTAAATCTCCGTACTTTGGCATAAGGTCTGCCACAGGGAGAGCAAATCTACTTAGCTTTCATAGGCTGACTTTGAGTTTTGCTTCATTCTTTTCCCATTTGGCTCCTGGTAAGTCTGAAGTAATTTGGTAACTGATCACTGCTGATTGAGTTGCTTATTTAAATTTCAATTTAAACATTTCAGTCTGTATATTCTTTCACTGTTTGTTCTTGCAGCTGAAGTTCCCTTGCAAAGAATGGGACCCAAACTTGCCATCCTTGTGTCTTCCAAATCCTGAGTATTTGGCACCTGAATACATTCTTTCAGTGAGCTGCGAGACAGCCAGTGACATGTACTCCTTAGGCGCTGTTATGTATTCAGTTTTTAATAAAGGGAAACCGATTTTTGAGGTCAACAAGCAGGATATTTATAAAAGTTTCAGTAGACAGCTGGATCAGGTATTTGCTATACTTGTAAATGCTTTACATTTTACGATAAGGAATTTTCTTATTCTCTCTGTGTTTAAAAGCAGTTACTATTTAAAGAAGAAATGAATATCTCAAGCTCAACATCCAGTTTAAAATAGTTTAAATTTAAAAGGAAAATACGTTACCTTTTAAAAAAAAATCAGCTTTACAAAATATTAATCATAAAAATAAGCAAACATTCAAAATGCCTGGATTAACTGCAGTACTGATGTTCTGCTTGGCTTCTTTATGGGCCAATGCTAGCATGTTCATGTAGAATACATTTCTGATGTACCAGTCTTCCTGTGCATGGAGCAGACAGATTAGCAGTGTCTGACTCAGTTCTTTGTTGGGAGGTAGGGAGAGCCACTGAGCATAAAAGCTCACCCTAAAGGTCAGAATGTGATCTCTTCCACCAGTAACCAGGAAGTAAAGAGAGTCATGCCACCTTTTCCTGTATTCTTCTCAGCAGCGGTGGGTCAGGGACATGCTCTCTCTCTAGCAGGCGGGGAGGTGGAGAAAAAAATTAATATTTCTTCAGCTGAAGGATGGAAAAGAAGAGAATTAGTTAGATGGATGTACTTTGTAACATGTCACACGTAATGCTGCCTCATGGTATTTGGATCATAATGCAGTGATAGGATGTAATTGTTTAAATGGATTTTGGCGGCTATATGTGATGACTAAATGGCTTTGGCCATTGAAAGTGAGTCTCACAAATCTACACATTTGATAAACTCAAGATTTTTTTTAAAACCAGTACTAATTTGCTTCAGTACTGTAACAAAAAGGGTAGAAGGGACCATACCAGAAGCATTTATTTTCATACTTTCATTTATCAAAATGAAATATTACAAAACTTGCTTTTTATTGTAAGTAAACCAAATGCCCATCCAGAGGACAAAAATATACTCTTGCAAGAATTGTACTGAAGCTAGTTATATGTAGGATTTTCTTTATTTATGGTGCATACCCTTGAATTATTTATGCAGCTAAGTCGTTTAAGCTCCAGCGCTCTTCAGAATATACCGGAGGAAGTTCGTGAACACATAAAGCTACTGTTAAATGTAGCTCCTACAGTCAGACCAGATGCAGATCAAATGACTAAGGTCAGTGTGCAGCAATCACTGTAGTTTCAAGAAATCTGTTAAATAATCATTAATTTTTATAAGTAATTAATATAGCCACTGAGGAGAGGGGAGTTTAGCTGTTATCTCTTCAGTTGAAGGCTATTATCTACAGTGCACCAATTATCGTTTGTTTTGTGATGACTTACCCTTTTTTTTGAAAATGAGCACCTGTTTTCAGTACTTGGTAAACAGAAACCATCCCCTCATAGTCTTGCATAAGGTGCACACTTGCTATTTTTCAGCTGTCTGTAAAAGACTCGCACTAAAATGTTTTAATTCCTTTTATAACATTGACATTTAAAATACTGGGAGGCTCTTAAGGCTGTAAAGTGAAATGGTCAGGAGTCAGGAAGTGTAAGAGTTGCCCTGACCAACTGCTTGTTAAATACGCTTGGGTGTAACTGAAAATATATCTGGAGCATGTCTGTCCCAGTTAGTTATGATGCAGTAAATGAGTCATGGGTTAAGTATTCTTACAACTACAGTTTTAGTTTTTCAACCCCATCATCTGCTTTTTCAACATGATGGCAGGGTTTGGAAATGAGTGCCATGATGGCTACCTTGCTTTCTAAATCTATTCCTGTTTGTAGGATGGCATCGCTCATTATTTTTCCTCATGGCCTCTTGCATAAAAAGGAATTGGGAGGAATTGGCTTTTAGAGGAGTGGGCCCCCATCAACACAAATTCTTCCCTACCACTTGCCCCTCTGCTGTCTGTCTGCTCACTTCCCCCTGCCACTTGTTACACCCACCATGACTGCATCCCCCACCCCTTGCTCCTCCTACTGTACTACCAGATACCACTGCTGCATTCTCCCCACCCCTCCTGTCCCCCCAACTGCTGCTTACTCTACAGTTCTAGCCTTTCTGTAGCAATGGGCAACAGCCAGAAGGGGGGCAGAGACAGTGGGTGAACAGTGGCTATGGTCCAACCCTGACTCAAGATTATTTGCCCCCCCCCCCCCCCCCCCAATCTAAGAAAGTGGGCCTTTTCCACATATTACATATGGGATAAAACCTTGACTTGAATGTGATTAAATATGGTATGTAAAAATTTACTTTTCCTATTGTTAGTTGCAGCCACTTAACTATAAAAGCTTGTTGATGTATAGTGCATTTGAGAAGGTGAATATATAATTGTACATGTGGTATATTTATAATAGCATCGACAGTGGTTTCCCTCCAAGTATCACACTTTTTATATTCTTATTTTAGATACCCTTCTTTGATGATGTTGGTGCAATGACACTACAATATTTTGATTCTTTATTCCAAAGGGATAATCTTCAGAAATCACAGTTTTTTAAAGGGCTGCCAAAGGTTCTGCCAAAACTCCCTAAGGTATGTTTTCTTAAAGGGAGACTGAAATAATGACTGAAGAAGGTCATGTCTGTAGGCACTCTTAATATTCTGAAAGCAAAAATGCTGGAGTCTGTACCAGGTAGTGCCACAAAGGACTGTGTAGAGGGGTCATCAGAACAGAGTAAGAAAGACAGACATGAGGAACTCTGATTTAATGGAAGTATCCTGCAGCTTTCAATATGCCTGGAAAGAGAGAAAGAAATGGCAGCGTTGAGCTCTCATCCTAGCCAAATTTGCCTTAATGCCACTGCTTACCATCCTCTTCCTGTAGTCATTGTTTGGATCAGTCACACTGCTTTACAGACCCTGCAGGCACTGCTTAACAGACTCTGCTACATGATTGCAAAAGTTGTATCCTTCCCATACATTAGGACTAACTGAGCTCTTTGCAGAGCCACTCAATAGTTCTCTGCTCTTTAGCGATTATACGCTGTCATCCCTTGAGGGATTTAGCTCAGCATTATGGCAACACTCACCGACAATCTAGAGAGTGAGTGTGTCTGTCTAAATTTCTTCGATATGGTAAGTCAGGCTCTGACTGGACTAGTCTTCTTCCCTTGTGTGTTGTCATATATTTTATAGTTGTGAAACATAAAGCAAGAAAAACACTTGTTTACTGTTCTTCATATTCAAATTAACTTTATTTTTGAAGTATACAGTATAAAGCTCTAGTGTAGGAAGAGCTCTTATTTAATAGTGTATTTTCTAAAACAGCAACTCTTTTCCCATTGGTTAAATAATGTTGCGACACTTCGGAGTTGAGCAAAGTCTCCAAAAATTTTGCGGAGGGTGGTAGAAGGATACAGGGAAGATCATAGGATATTAGGGTTGGAAGGGACCTCATGAGATCATCTAGTCCAGCACCCTTCTCAAGGCAGGACTCGACCTTAAGTTTTTCCCTGCCTCCTTTGATCACGTTACATTAACTTAAATAGCTTCCACACAGACATCTGGTATGATTATCATTTTGGTAGCTTAGCATATGATTATTCATAATAGGTACTTCTTCAGGATTCTCACAAGCTGATGAAGTAGGTGCAAAAGCTAGAGGAGGAGGTGGTGTCTAAGAATGCATTTTTTTGCGCTTTGCGGAGAAACATACATATTGTATAACAAATTGTAGAATCCTTCAACAGATTAATTTTACACTGATAAAACTTTTTATAGTCTTTAGGAAAATACATTACATGGTTTAAGCCTGGGTGTCAACCATATGGCCCGCGGGTTGGATCCAGACTACGGAGCCGTGTGATCTGGCATCATGTGAAGTCAGTTTGGTATGCAGGCTAGACCCCTTAGTGCACAGGAGGTTCAGTCCAGGGTACATGCTGTAAGCATGCTGTAAGCAATGTCCACCCCAAACTAGCCCTCTGTGTTAGCTCCAGGGCTGTTCCAGATCTGGCTATCCCAAAACTGGCACACAGGGACAGTCTGGCAGGGCAGTATGTGCTCTGTGCTGGTCCTGTCCTGAGCAGTGTGTGACCTGTGCATGCCGTGTACAGCACAATCTGGCCCTGCTCCAGGGCTCATTCTGCATGTGGTGCATGGGGCAGGCACAGGTCAAATACTACGTGGGGTGCCTTGCTGAACCAGTCCTGCATGCTGGCTCCAGTGCACGTGGATGGCCTGGGGGCTGAATCTGGACTAGCCCCGGAGCCAACACACAGGTCTGATCCAGCAAGGCATCTCATCTAGACTGTGTACCACATGCCGAGTCCACTCCAGAGTGGGAACAGCATATGCTGCATGCAGGACTGGATCAGGTTTGCATGTACCTGCACAGGGGACCAGCACAGGCATAGCCTGATATGGCCCATGGACTGGCCCAGCAACCCTCATTCAGCAGGTGGTATATGACTTTATCTGAAATAGTCTTTAGCTAGAATTTACAGTTAATTGGCTTTTTCTTGGTTTTTAAAACAGTTGTCTGAGCTTGAACCTCTAACAGGGAAATACAAACATACTAATGCTTCAAAGAGTAAATTGAAAGTATTTTTCAGATCTGATTACTGTTTGTTTTTCCATCTTTCTATAAACCTTACTTTTTAAATGTAAGAAAGCAACACTTTGAATTAAAATTGGAATCTTACTGCTTTACAATGCAACATAACACATCTTTGTTTTTTTCTCAGCGTGTTATAATCCAGAGAATTTTGCCTTCTTTGACCTCAGAGTTTGTGAATCCTGATATGGTACCCTTTGTTCTGCCTAATGTTCTTCTGATTGCTGAGGAGTGCACCAAAGAAGAGTACATCAAGCTCATTCTGCCTGATCTTGCTCCTGTTTTTAAACAGCAAGAACCAATCCAGGTACATAAATAGAATTCCAGCAGCTTTTTTTAACCAGGGCTTTCCCTGGAAGAAACCCTATCAGTCTGTTTCCTTGTTCTAATCCTCTACAAATTTAGTCATCTTGGCTCTATAGTTATCTAGAGACATCAGTTTTGAGTAAGCCAAGAACAATTTTTTGGAAAATTTGCAGATTGAGGGCACCTACACACAAGCACGGAGGCTGCTTCAACATGCTGGAATTCCAGTTTGTTGGAACAGACTTGATTAATCAAGTCTGCTGGAGCATGGCAATTACCGTGCTCCAGCAGCCTCCTGCATCTTACGTATCAGCATCCCCGTGCTTAAAAATGGTGGTAGGCATGCTTGAAGGGCTCTGAGGGCTCATCAGATGCCCTCAGAGCATGTGTAAGAATGGCCTCGGTTTTCTCTAGTACACTTGCCTTTGACTGTACCAATGCAGGAGCTACTCCAAGTGAACAAACTTAGCACACACTGGCCGCATCTACACAGCAAAGAGGTTGCAAGTGGCTGTGGAGGACAGGCACTAGATGGGAACAAATGGTTGTGGGGCAAGGAGTGGGGTTCACGCTGCCAGCATCCTCTGCTGCTGCTTTCCCCACCACAGCAATGGAGGAGGATAAATTTAAGATGAGCCTCCAGTAATTAAATTAGACTCTATGCATGGAAAATTATAACAAATTTATACTTTTCTATACATAGAATCTACTTATTGGGGGGATCAAAGTTGTGTTGGATTTGAGTAAACACTGTAACTTCTCCTGTAGATAGTGGAGGTTGCTCATATGCATCTAAGAGGAAGAATTTTACTCAAGGTTTCTTGAAAACCAGGTATTTTGTATAATAGTATGTAAATAAGTGATTTATTTATTTATTTTTGGTGTACGGAGTGTAACCAAAGACTGTTTTGTAATTGGGAGTCAGAGTCTTCTAACCTTGATTTTTATTTTTTTCCCCCCCTCCCCAATCCCCCAAATCATTCTAGAATACGTTTGATTTGTTTAATTTTTGTTTCCTGTTTTAAAAATGTAATAGCATACCCAGGTGTATTTTTTGTCTTCCATGCCTTCAGGCTAGCAACATGGTGAGTGTTACAAGAAAACTAATAATGTTTTTAAAATATTTATAATAAACTTCAAACGGGAAGTGTGATGTTGCCAGAAGTAAAACCTGTAATATCTGAAGTGTTTTTTCCCCTATAGATTTTATTGATTTTCCTGCAAAAAATGGACTTGCTACTAACCAAAACTCCACCAGATGAAATAAAGAACAGTGTTCTACCAATGGTTTATAGAGCCTTAGAAGCACCTTCAATTCAGATTCAGGTGCAGTAAATGCTGTATCTCTTTAATGTTGTTTAAAATGTTAGTTCCTCTTTTGCTTTTGAAGGAACCTTTCAATTTCTGTCACTAAATTTTTACTTTTAGAAGAGGACCTTAATGCCTGTTCAATATCTCTTAAAGCATATGGATTAACACCACTGCATGTTGTGGGAATCTTTTTCCTGTTTACAAGAAAAAAATCACTTAGGCATCTGTGTTTTATTAACAAGGCATCTGTGTTTTATTAACAAGACATAATTTTCTGCCAAATGAACATCGCTAGTGTTAGAGTGATTGTTGCCAGTTTAGGCTGGTTGCCTAAATAAGTATTTACTCTCTATTCATACCTTATTATTCTTCTGATTTAGCCCATTGGAATTTACCCTTATGCTCAGGCATACAATTATGCACATATCTCTCTAGGGAGAACTGGATACACAAACCACTGGAAAATTGCAAAGCTAATGATCCCAGCCTAGAAATCCTTAGAAAGCCTATGAGTCTAGAAATCATGAGGGAAAGTAATGGATAATTTGGCTGATGAGAAGTTTCTCATAGCTAGCATATGGTTAACCAGGTTTTACTTGTCTCAGTGATATTATTTTTATATAATTCGTAGAAATTACACAAATTAGATTTTTCTTAAATGATTAAATGTGTAATGCTTGTTTGACAGTTTAGATTTTGGTACTTGTTTTTGCTTCTTCACAGAGTTGTTGATGTGCGTTTGTTTGGTATGTTATAGTAAAATATATTTTTAAATACTTTCATCACAAGTAACTTTTCAAAGAAACTTTTTCACAAAGCAATCTTTCATGAAATGCAAGATGTTCTTGTTATCCAAATATTTTGTAGTAACTACACTAATCTACCCTATTGTTTTTCAAAAACATCCTCAAATTTTATCCTAACTAGTTTTAAATTGGAAGTTAGAAATCAGCGTTAGACTACCTTAATTAATTTCCCTAAAGGGGTGAAATTGAGATACATTAACTGATTGTTTAGAGTATATTTTACTAGTTTTGAATTGAAATGGATGTTTAAAAACTAATATGGTATATGTTTCTTTACAGGAGCTTTGCTTAAACATAATTCCCACATTTGCTAACCTAATAGACTATCCATCAATGAAAAATGCATTAATACCAAGAATTAAAAATGCATGCTTACAAACTTCTTCTCTTGCCGTAAGTAAACTAGTGTTTCTGATCTGTACTTTTCATACCCCGAAATACTGAAAATTGTGTTTAAAAATCAGTTTGGCTTTTCTATTTTATTTTACCATTATTAATATGCCCTGAATCCTATGAGGGCAGTTAGTTGCTGTATTACAATAATCCAGGCTTTTCTTCGTTGTTTTTTGGTCAGAAACCAGTAAACAACCCCTTCCTTTGTTTCAATGATGCAAACAGTTATTAAAAAAAAAACCTGGATTATGTATTTTATGAAATTTCTAATAGCTAAAGAGCTGTTTGGTGCTCTTTAATACAAATTGTACAGACTTATTTCGGAGTAGGTTGTATTTCAGATTGTGGTTCTGTAGCTTTTTCAGTGCTTTTGTGGTTGTGTAGCTTTTAGCCTTTTTTCCATTACAAAGTGGAAACAGTTGGAATGACTGAGTATTCTTATGTTTAAAATTCAGTCTATTTAAAGTACCATTTTAAGACAACCCTGAATTTAAGGTGGTCCCCCCATAATTAGATTCTGTACATGGAAAATTGTATAAATTTGTTGTAATTTTCCATGTATTCGAATCTAATTACTGGGGGGGGGGGGGGGGGTCATCTTTAATTCATCCCCCTACTGCTGTGGAGGAGCAGGCAGTTGGGGGAGGTGGTATGGGGATGTCAGTTTTCCCCCTGCTTGTGCCTGCCCCCTGCTGCCTCTGCTCCCCCCCTCTTCATTTTCCCCCCACACTTCTGCTTCATGCTGGCAGGTTCCATTCACGCTGAAGCCTAGGGCTCTGAGCATGGCCCTAACCCCACACCCATAGCACACCTGCAAGTTATGCACTGCTGCTACAAGGCAGAGCTGGGCTGTAGCATGGACAGAGCCTGCTGTTTCAGAGCAAGGATAAGAGGGGGAGGGAGATAGGTGGGCAGGAGTGCAGAGGCAGCAGGGTTGTGGGGGTAAGGAAGGCAGGGTGCAGAGGCAGTAGCACAGGATGGGGCAGGCAGCAGCTGCTTGCCCCCTTCTCCCTTCCCCTGCCCCTACTATCCTCATACTCAATTCTAAGATGACAGGCTTTGCCCCCCCTCCCCTCCCCATGTTAAATGGAGGAGGTGGGGCATCTTGTCTTATAATTGAGTAAATGCAGTAATATGGCATTTCAGTTCAGTGGGTTTCATGCATAGTTCCAAGTTACATTAAGTATAGTTTCTCTCTAAGGAAAAACACAAGATACAAGCTGTGACTAGAGGAAGGAGCCATGCATTGTTTCTCCTGTTCCTTCCTTGGGGCTTTTGTCTCTTGAAAATGGTAACTTGGTAGCAGTCTTCAAAATTGGAAAGGTGCTACGTAATAGTCTAGAGCAAAAATGTATTTGGATCACAACAAAAGTAGTATCACTGTGGAACAGCAAGTTTTATTTTCTCTAGTGTAAACTAATCGGTTAAATTCTTTAAGCATTTTCTGTTGAGATTCTACCAAATAGTTCAGATTTGATTACCTTTCAATAGGTCTCATTCCACTCTTAGGTAAGATTTTTTTTGTCAAGCAGGGGGAAGAAAGCACATTTATCTTTTTTCTTTTTCTTTTCTTTTTCACTCTCCTCCCCCGCCCGTTGGAAATTTGCCATTAGACATTTTTTTTACAAGGTGCTCTGATGTTTTAGCATTGTAGAAATGCTATCTTGAAACATTATGTTTAAACATATTGTATTAAAGGACCAAAAATCTCTTATTGGATAGAACTTGATAATTTTGTAAAAATGTAACGTCACGGATTCACAGAGTTGGAAGGGACCTCAAGAATCATGCAAATCTAATTTTCTATAGAATTTAACGAGTTATATGTATTCTTTTTAAAAGACGAAATATTTTATGTAGTGCTGAAATCGTATTCCTCTTATGATGCAGGAAATTTGTACGTGGAACAAGATGGAGTTTTACACAAGCCTTTGTCCCATCTGCTATTTAGCTCTGCTGTGTGTGCTTCTCTTCCAGAGACCTGCAGAAGGTTTCTGTGCTTCTGAAAGCATGTCTGAGTCTCTCCCAACCATGCAATTGGTCCAATAAAAAAAAATCACCCACAAAAAATCCTTACATCTGTTAAATATATTGTATATATTGTATATGCTTCTAGGAAAAAACCCAACTTGGACACATTGCCTAACTCTTGTTTCATATGCAATAGGTCCGTGTAAACTCACTAGTGTGCTTAGGAAAGATTTTGGAGTACTTGGATAAGTGGTTTGTTCTTGATGACATTCTGCCTTTCCTACAACAAATTCCATCCAAGGAACCTGCAGTACTAATGGGAATTTTAGGTAATAAATAGTTTTTACTTTAATCTTCTTTTAGTGTTTTGATGTAGCAATCTTACATATACTTTGATAAGTCTGTGTTTCATAGTTGAAAATTTGTGCAGCAGCCTATTAGAGGTACTTAATTGGGCTGTACAAAGCTTTGGATGCTGATTCATTTCAGAGGAGATTTGGCCTGATTTGGCGGCTGAATCTCCGAATCAAATCAGGAGACCAATAAAAAGGTCCAAATCGATTTGGAGAGATTTGGAGATTCAGGTACTCCCCGCTTGCCATTGCAGGGAGCTGGACCCTGACTCCCTGCCAGTAAGTAGGTGGCAGCGGGGAGAGGGGCTGAAGGAGGGGGAAGGGAACCATGGGGGGATCCCCACCAGGCCCTATCCCTTGCCTGCTCCCCTAGCCCCCCTGAGCACCCCCTGACCCTCTCCTGCTCTCCCAGCCCTGTCAATGGCTGCCCCACCCAGCCCCAGCATCCTAGTGCTTTAAAAAAAACCCTAGTCACTGTCTGCTGCAGCAGCCATCATGACCTCTGGGGGCTCGTGGCAGAGGTCTCCCCACGTAGTGTGAGGCAGTGAGGATCACCCCCCCGCCTGGCAGGAACCAGTGAGTGCGGGTCTTTTTTTTAAAGATCCGGGACTCTGGGGCTGGGTGGGGCAGCCATTGATGGGGCTGGGAGAGTGGGTGGGGAATGGGGCCTATTTGATTCGGAGATTCGGCCGATTCAGCAGCAGCCAAACCTCTGAATCGGATTCAGCCAAATCAGTTCAGGACAGTGATTTGAATCGCCAAATCAAATCACTGTCCCCTGAATCAGCCGAATCCAAAGCGAATACTAGCTGCTTTGCACAAGTCTAGAACCTAATTTCTTAGGCATGTCCTTTTTTATTACAAAATCCATTCCTGATACTGCTTGTAGTCCGTCACAAACATCTTCCACAGCAGCTGGTCTGTGTAACTTCTGTGGATCCTCCAGGTATTGAAGTGATGTGAATTTGCTTGAGAACAGCTGTGTACATTGCTTTTGGGCACATTCAAATAGCCTTGACCTGTGTTTCTCCGTATAAGCAAAAAGAGGGCAAGAGCTGTGTCTGGAAGCGGGAAGGCATGTAGAATGAAGCTCTAGCTGTGGGCTGGGTGGCATAAAATTTTACCCTAATTGGTAGCATTAGTTAAAGTTGTCTCCTGTCCACGAAAGAATTGTGGTTTTATCCTACCTGATCCTTAACTATATGGTGCCCAAACTGCTCAGGTACAAGAATCCTAACATGGGGGTCATGTTTATGTTCATCCTGCCATCTCTTTCTTCCCCATTTACCCCCATATGTCCTAAGCTGAATCTTTGCTGGCTGATTGATAGGCCTTTTTTTTATGACAGCCATAAAAAAAGCATATTCCAGAGATTTTCTTCTGTTTGATCTTTACAGTTACAGTTCATGCATTTTCAGCAAATGGGCGATTTAAACAAGCAAGTATTCTGCTATGTGAAATGTATGCCCTTTTAACATGGTACAGTATAACCTTATGAATCTGGCATTCTCAGGACCGAGCAACTGCCAGAAATGTGAAAATTCTGGATTTTTGAAACCAGAGTGGTGGCCAGTGGGGTGGGGGTAGCGGCAGCTGGTTCCAGAGCAGCAGTCGTACACGGAACAGTGACACAGGGTGGTGGATGGCGGCAGCAGCTGACGCATGCAAGCTTCCCCCTCTGCTGCTCTGGAACTGGCTGCTGCTACTCCCCAAAGGAATGTAGTTTTATAAAGTGCTGGATTTTCAATAATTCCGGATTGGTAGGGTTGTACTGTATAAGCTTACTAGGCTTAAAATTAGATCCATCATCCATGTTTGTATCCATTTTTTCAATAGGTTTTTTTATTTCAAGAGAAAGGACCACTAGATTGTCTTGTCTCACTTTGTATTTAACACAGACCTAACTTTCCTAAAAGAGTTACTGTAGAATGCAGAGAGAGAGTGAGTGGCAAATTTACGGAGAAATACCAGGGGTAGCATCCATACTCAAAATACAGTGTTGCTTCTGTTCCATAGCCATAGTATATAGCCTTAAGTCACTGACTTCTTGCTGCTGCTGTTCTGTATGTTATAAAAGAGGCTTCTTTTTGTAGCCAGATTACATTGGAGTTTTCTGTTTTTACAGAATCATAAAAAAAAAATCAGGCTGGAAGGGACCTCAGGAGGTCAACAAGTCCACACCTCTGCTTAAGGCGAGATCACCTCTGTTTAACCCATCCCAGACAAGTGTTTTTCCAACTGCTCTTAAAAATGTCCAAGGATGGTGATTCCACAAACTCTCTAGTAGCCTATCCAATGCTTAACTACCCTTATAGCTAGAAGTTTTTCCTAATACACAACCTAAATTTTTCTTGCTGCAGTCTTAAGACTGTTGCTTTTTATCCTGTCCTCTCAGCCAGAGAGAAAAGTGTGTCATATTCCTCTGTATAACCATCCTTTAGATAGTTGAAGGTTGTTATCAAATCCCACCTCAGCCTTCTCTTCTCCAAACTTAATCCTAAATAAGGGATGGAAGGTACCTAGTTCTTTCAACCTTTCCTTGTAAGTTTGATGTTTTCCAGAGCGCTAATCATTTTTGTTGCTCTCACCTGTATTCTTTCCAATCTGTCCTTGTGTGTCTTGAAGTATGGTGGCCAAAGCTTGACAGTTCTCCAGATGAAGCTTCACGAGTGCCACAGAGAAGAAGAATCTCTTCCCTTTATTTTCAAGTGATACTCCTATTGATCTTCCTCTTCTTTCTGACATACTTCTGGAATGTTTTTAGTTGCCTTTTTCATCCCTTGCTAGTTGCGTCTCAGTTTGTGCCTTGGCCTTCTCAATTTTATCCTTGCTTGCCCATCCAATACTTTTATACTACTCCCACATAATATGGTCAAGTTTCCACATTGTGTAGGATTCCTTTTTGAGTTTCAGCTCGTTGAAGAGTTTGCTATTTAGCTAAGTTGGACTTCCTGTTCTTACTTCACGTCAGGATAGCTTGCTCTTATGCCCATAATATGGCCCACTGGACTTCTTTTCCGCTTAGACTTGCCTCCCAGGGGATCCTGCCTACCATTTCCCTGAGTTTAGATTTGCTTTTCTGAAGTTCAGTGTTGAATACTTGTCATTTCATGGTTGTTACCCAAGTTGTCTTCCACTTTTCTTCCTCTATGTGAACAGCAAATCAAGACAGCTTCTCTAACACCAGTATGAAAAAGTTATCCCCAACTTACTCCACAAGCTTGGCCTCCCTGTGCTGTGCTGTTACCCTTGCAGTTTGGCCTGCCTGTGCCCTGCTGTTACCCTTTTATGGAAATTGAAGTCCACCATGAAAATCGGGTCCTCTGTGACTTGATAAAAATACCTTCTATTCTATAGCAGATGCCCACCATGACATCAGCCTTGCTGTTCGCCCCTCTTATCTAGACCATAGTTTTTCAACAGGCCTATCTCTCACTTCATACTGCATTTCACAATAAGTGTAACTTTTCTATAGAAAGCAATCCCATCTCCCTTTTTTCCTTGCCAGCCTTTCATGAACAAATTTATACTCCATGACAGTACTCCTTCCTTTCAAACTATCTCACCATGTCTTCATTATCCCAATTACATCATACTTCCATGATTGTACTAAAAGAATTCTATTGTAAATTCAACCAAGTTCTATCACCTGTCTCCTAAGAAGGTAAGACTGTTCTTCTCGGCGATTTCAGTGCTAGAGGGGTCAGGGACCCTGATCTATGGAAAGAAAAGCTCATAAAGGAAGGGTGGAGAAAGTAAATTCATGTGGCATTCTTCTGAGTAAGCGTTCAGAACGTGATCTCATCATCATAAACATCTTATTATTCCAAAGCAACGATGGAAAACATCATGGATGCGCCCCCACTCAAAACACTGTCACCTGATTGATTGCATCATAGTTTGTGCATGGGACTGCCATGTCCATACCAGAGCTACGATCACTGCAGATGGCTGTGGGAAGGATCATTGTTTGATATGTCCCATCAAATCTATTTGTGTAGCTCTAAAATGACACGGAAGCAACCAAGGGAGAGGTTCAATATCATGGTCTTGAAAGACCCTGTTAAAAGTGATCCTCTGCAGCAATGCCTTGGTGAAAAACTCTCCCACCTCCCTGGTCATCTTGACACTGAGGAACACAGAGCTCTTTACATGGCCTTCACTGACCTAAGGCCTTTGATTCAATCAACAGAGAGCCCCTGTGGAAGATCCTGATTTTGAGTGCCCACCACAATTTATCATTATCAAACTCTTTCATGATGATATGACAGCAGCCATCCTAAGCAATGACTCAGAAACAGACCTTTTCACTATTAGAACTAGAGTCATGCAAGGATATGTGATTGCACCAACATACTTTTCCATCTATATCACAGCTATTCCACATCTCATCACTAGTAAACTTCCATCTGGAATTAGCATCCCAGTATTTCATGAAAATCCAAATCTAAGATAACTAACACTTCCATTACTAAATTTCAGTACACTTACAATTGTCATGTGTGCCAACTTAGTTTAAGAATTCCAGGTCACTCTTGATCACTTTTGTGAAACGTATGAAATGCTTGGACTCCCTGTCAACTTCACAAAAACCAAGATACTTAATCAACCCACCCCAAACTAGCCAACTGCTCCTCTACATATTATAATTAGAAGGTAATCATTTGAAAATGTTGAATATTTCCCCTACTTGGGTAACCACCTTTCCCAAAAAGGAAATATGAATGACAGTATTCAACACTGGATAAAATCTGCCAGTTCTGCCTTTGGACATGTCCAAAAATATGTGTTCAATGAAGATGATATCAAGATTCAGAAAAACTTCTTGTCTACCAGGCTGTTGTCCCTACCCTGTTGTATCAGTGTGAATCTTGGATGACATAGCAGAAACAGTTGAAAGCTTTGGAATATTACCATCAGTGATATCTTCAAAAAGTCCTCTATATTAACTGGAAGAACAGAAGAATAAACACCAGCATTCTGGCTCAAGCAAACACCACCAGCATTGAAGCTATGTTTATACGACACCCTGTTGCTCAGGACGTCGTATAAGGATGCCTGACAACTGATCCCAAAACGAGTCCTGTACTTCCAACTTATTGATGGACACTGCTTTAGCTGTGGGCAAAAGAAGAGATTCAAAGACTTCTTGAAGGCCAGCCTGAAGATATGAAATATTAATATCAACCCCTGGGAGACTGAAGTACTGAATTGTCCCCAGTGCCGCCGTGATGTATCACAAGGCATTGATAGCTTTGAACAAATTCAACTGACTATGGAGGTAGATAAGAGAGGCAAAAGGAAAGAGCGGTGGCCTGACATCACAAACACTTCTTCCTCCCAAAACTATTTGTGACATCTGCAGTCAAACATGAGAATCTTTGATTGGGCTCTTCAGTCATCTGCAGGCTCACTGATGACTTCCCTGTTTTACTGGAAGACTGTCAACCTCATATCAAGGGGCTGCCCACAAGGAGGAATTCTAATAATTTTGGATTATTCCCCATACTACTTGCATTAGTATATAAACATCTAGGGTAATTAGCCCATGGCAGTAATTTGTCTCTAAGAATAGTTTTAAGGTTCCCTATTGCCCCCTTTTTCTAGATTTTATTTATTTATTTTTTATCTAGGCTACCTAGCTTTTTACTTACTTCCTTTTTTTGTCTCTGCCCTGTTGAACCTAATTTAAAGTCATCCTTACTAGGTTAGCAAACTTAAATGCAAAGACAACCTTCCCCTCTTGATCAGGCAGACCCCATGTCTTCCTAGTAGAAGATGGTCAAAGGAACAAGAGTTCTGCTGCTGATATTTTTGGTGTTATGATTTCTAAGCTGTTTTAGGTTCATTTGTACACTAAACAATATCTTCCATAGGTGGATCTTTCCCTGGCAACCTGCCTTTTGAATCCTGTGTTTTGGCTAATTTTTAGTATGCATAGTAAGTGTATTTTTCTTAGAGCTCATTCACAATATTTACTGAACTTCATCTCTCTCAATGATGTGTGTCAGGTATTTACAAATGCACGTTTACCCACAAGAAGTTGGGAATTACCAAAGAACAACTTGCAGGAAAAGTATTACCCCATCTGATTCCTCTGAGTATTGAGAACAATCTAAATCTCAATCAGGTAAGAACACAGTTTTAATTTTGGCATGCTTTTACCTAATTAGGTGATCTAGAAGTAAAGGTAAAATATTCTGTCACAGAAGATTTTTTTTTAATCAGTACATTTTGATACAAATGTACAATAGTAATGTCAGAATGGTTAGGCTTAAATAGCAGTGCTTCTTCAGTGGATCTGGTAAGTAGAGGTGCACCGATACATAGGTCCAATACCAGATCAGTACCAATATAAGCAAAACTGGCTGTATTGGATATCGGCCTGATGGGGCCAATAATTTAGCTGATAAATGCTCGTGCCGTGCGCAGCCACAGCGCAGCACTCAGGCTGCAAGGAGCACAGCTGGCACTGTGGAGAGCTGTTTCCAGTTGGTAAGTCTGGTGTGGTGGGAGGGGAGGGGAGGGGG